ACGATTCGACCTATTCGAAGGATACTGTCACCCAGGTGAGTCCATTGCTTTTGTGAAGGGCTTTCTCTGTCCTTCTTTTTCGCTTCCTCTTTCTTGTTCTTCTCCTTCTTTACCCTCACCTCACTTTTGTGATTTTTCAAGTTCCCTTCCCAGCTTTATCTTCGCTACTTCATCATCTGCCTCGTCTCATTCAATTCTTCCCAATCGATCTTCCTGGCCCCCATTCTCTGGAGACATACTTTCTCACAATCACCTACAAAAGGCGACACACGATTGTCGGCAACATGGCCGGTAGGGCGGGCATGAAACGTGATGCTAATCATTTGACGACACCAGAGGCCGATTCCAAGAAACCCAAGGCCAATGGAAGCATCACTTCATTCTTCGGGGCCCCCAAAAGCAAACCCAACGACCCAAAGCCCACTTCGTCTTCATCGAGCTTCAACAAGCAGAAATGGGTCGACTCATTGACTCCAGAACAAAAGGAGCTCCTCCAACTTGAAATTGACACTCTCGACGAGAGCTGGCTGGCACAGCTTAAGGAGGAAGTCGTCAAGCCGGAGTTCCTAGCGCTGAAGCGCTTCCTTCAGAAGGAAAAGCAATCGGGGGCTAAAATCTTTCCTCCCGAAGAAGATATCTACTCATGGTAAATCGCCGTCGTCTTCCAATTTGACGCTATCATTTATATGAGCAATCGGGGTAACTAATCTTGAATACTAGGTCTCGTCATACGCCTCTCCACAAGGTGAAGGTGGTCATCGTCGGCCAAGATCCTTATCATAATTATAACCAGGCTCATGGTCTTGCATTCTCCGTCCGCCCTCCAACTCCTGCCCCGCCTTCCCTCGTCAACATTTTCAACGAAATTCATAATGACTATCCCTCTTTCCAAAGACCCGCAAACAAGGGTGGCCTTCTCATACCCTGGGCTGAGCGTGGTGTATTAATGTTAAACACTTGCTTGACTGTACGCGCACACCAGGCCGCTAGCCATTCAAACAAGGGATGGGAATTGTTCACGCAGAAAGCCATAGACTTGGTGGCCCGAGTACGGACGCGCGGAGTTGTTTTTCTTGCATGGGGAACACCCGCAGGGAAGCGTGTGACAGGCATCAATAGAGCGAAGCATTATGTTCTGCAATCGGTCCATCCAAGCCCGCTAAGTGCGTCAAGAGGATTCGTAAGTAGATTCTTGTTACCATCGGTTATTGGCCATATGATTTTGACGTTGGATTATTTTGCAGTTCGGAAACCAACATTTTAAGAAATGCAATGAGTGGCTTGCTGAACGTTATGGTGCCGACGAAGTCATCGACTGGTCATTGACTTCGAAGAGCAAAATCAGCTCACCTTTTACCACCATCCAAAGCCCTGCTCTCACTGGTGCCCCGAAAAAAGCTATCGCTAAGGAGTCAGATGCTAGTTTGGTGAAGGAAGAGGTTTCCAAAACAACAGAGCCTGCCAAATCTACCGAGGCCGTTGACGAGTTTGAAGACGATCTCGATGCGCTGGAAGCCCTAGCAGCAGCAGAAGTGACCAGGTAGATGCTAACACTGGGTACTTCGTAAAAGTTTCACAAAGTCTCTTTCCCTCATTGCGTCTCTATTTCCACTGCTCATAACCCGAGGGAGCTAATAGAGTGAAGTCGTGATTAAAATCAAGCCACCGTTCTGGGTCATGAATCACGGTATTATTCACCGTGTCCGCTTGCGTGAGACTGAGATGGTGATGATGTATGGTTTAGATGTCTAAGTCTTATTGCTCTTTTGCTCTTTCGACCCTAGTACACACTTCGCTTGGATTTGGGGTCGCGGTGTCGGGATTAACAACTGTTGCAGTCATTGACGTGCCAACCCAGCCTTTGTCTACGGGCAAGAGTAAGATTCAGTCATCGGGCTCACCTGTGAATGCTACACATGGATTTCCGTGGACTTCAGTTTCGGACAAGCCTGAGTTTCATAAAGGTAGACAAGTGTGGAGTAAATTGTATATTCACCACATTGGCCATATAGAAATTGGTCAATTTAGCTAACAAAGTCAACCAATAACGGATTGGTCAAGAAATTACAAATGGCGACAATGGAAAATCGATATTTCAGATAATTAATGATTGATACGGCACAGTACTAAGCGGGATCATAACCGGAAGGCCGTTTACAGTTCATCATGTTCTGCCTTCTCGTCCTCTGTGGCAGCCGGGGTCTCGGCCTCCGTAGCGGAGGGAGCAGCCTCAGTCACATCACCGCCCTCCTGGGCTTCCTCAGGAGCGACATTAAGGGCGTCGACGTTGTGTTTGCCATTCTCCTTCACAAAGTTGGCAAGATCCTCGACAGTGCGCTGGCCAGAGAACTCAATGGGAGAGTCCTTGGCACCTGCGGGGTAAAGTCGGATGGTAGGGAATCCAGTAATCGGGTCCGGGACATCGTTGGCCGTCGCATCGATTTTGGCGATGGTAACCTTAGCCGCCAAATCGGGGTGGTCAGCGTAGAGAGCTGCGAGCTCATCATACTTCGGAGCAAGACTATATATTGATCGTTAATTGGTTGCGCTCGTACAGTAAGCCCGGGAGGATTGTATAGACTTACGCTTTGCAGTGTCCACACCAAGGTGCGTAGAATTCGAGCAGGACATCCTTGTCATTGTCAATGACAAGATCCTTGTAGGAATGAGCCACAACAACCGTGACGGGGCCCTCCTGAGACTCGGGAATAGGTTCCGACTTGATGCTAGGCTCAACCTTGCCATCCAGAACATCCTGAATGAACTTCTCAACCTCTTCGGCATCCAACTCTTTGGCCTGGTCGTAGGGGTATTTGGCATTCTTTGCGGGATCCTGGATGGCGAATGCCGGGAATTTCTGAGAGTCGAGGTTGAGGTTTCCAGCGTGGGCACCAAACATCTTAGCGTCAATAGTAGCGATGTTGATGGCACCCTTGTGCTTCTGGGCAATAGGCTTGAAGTCTTCGGTGTACTTTTCGCGCTCCTCCTTGGTCTCGGCAAAGATATAGGCCAATGGGATTCCAGCCTACGTTCAAGAATGGTTAGCCAGTCCAGCCAGAAAGTTGGCATCGAAAGTCAAGCCGAAATGCAAGAAAATGCCAGGTTGACGAATAGATCCTACTTACCCCGATATAGCCAGAGTAGGTCTCGGGGCCAATCTCGCCCACAAGGGGAGTACTAGCGGATTTCACCCAGTTGTGAATGGCCTCCTGTTCGATCTCGCCATCGTAAATAGCCTTCTTCTCATCGAAGTCCTTGTAGAGCACGATGGAGGGCTGCTCGACACCTTCCTTCTTCGCAATGGCCGCATCATCCGTTGCAGCAAAGAGGTAGTTATCCCGCTGAGACTCAGCATATTTCTCGAATGCCTTATAGGTTTTCTGGTCGTCGGACGGGATATAACCGATCACGACAATCTTGTCCATGGTCTTGATCTCTTCCAAATTCTCCTCGTTCACTGAGGATACTGCAGGAAGTGACTGCTTAATCATGTAGGAAACGATACTAGGAAACACCGTATGGGTCAGTGGCACATCACATACATGACAGCGTTTTTTGAGGCTTGAACTCACGATTCTGTTTGACGCGCCCCCTGGTACGGCTTGCTAGAGTCAACACCCCGGAAGATCTTGAGGGTAGGGTAACCTTCCACTCCCTGACTCCGGCAGAGATCCTCCTCGGCGGTGCAGTCAACCTTCACCAGAGGGATATTCTTCGCCTTCAGCTCCGTGGCTGCTTCCTCATACTTTGGCGCGAGGGCTTTACAGTGGCCACACCAAGGAGCAAAGAATTCGGCAAGGACGAGACCATGCTCGTTCATGAAGCTCTCAAATGTGTCTTGATCCAGTGAGATAACATCAGACTCGGTATCAGCAGCCGCAGCCACCGCGGATGCTCCGAGAAGGCTAACGAGCCAGGGCGCGAAGGAGCGCATTTTGAAATACAGAAGAAATAGCAGCGGAGTCGGGGACAATGGGAGGGGGTATCGCGATGGGATGTCTGCTTTTCCCAGTGGCTTTCGAAGAACCTCGAAAGTCAATGAAAATAAACAATAGACCGCCCGGATTAGAGGGAGGAGAGGGGAGGGAGAGGAAGGCAGGTGATGCGTAGAGCAGAAGCTACCGAAAGAGAAAAGAGCGATGGGGGCGAATGGGAAGGCAAATAGTTCTTAAATAAATAGTACAGTAGTATCATAGGCTGATCCGCCTGAATTAACTAGCTAATCCACTACTCCTGTAGCTATGAAGAGGCGATGAGGACAGTCTGTTCTTTCTGCAGTCAGCTGGCCTGCTGAGCATTCTGACTGGCTCAACCAGACCCGCCCTGGACAGCAAGGGACCTTCATACCAAGGGACTGGTAATCTAGGCATACTTCACTAAAGAAAGGGTAGTACCAGGTAGATACGTAAACCGATGGCTACTAGCAACTTGGTCGATTGACCCGGTAGGGATGGTAGTAGACATAGATGCATGCTCAGGCACATGGGACACCAGTATCCATGATGATGATTAGTTATTATTGTGAGACCATAGTGTATCTCCCCTGGGGAGCTACTTACCCACTTTTGTCTTAGTGGTACCGAGGTACCGCCCCTACATCGACCAATTTGGATCCCTTTATTACTTAATTAAGTAACGGTTCAGTTACTAGGTTAAATTAGTTATTTACTGGCTGTACTCCGTAGTTGCTAACTAGATACTACTTGGTATTCAAGTCATTCCTCCTTTACCCTACCCCCCCCCCTCCACCCTCCAAGGGTTGAACCTACTCCTGCGGACCTTCCAGCTGGCCACATTCCATGGCAAGGTCTCGAATTACTTCTATTTAACCATAGTAATCACACAATAATCTACATGCAGCCCAGTTTATTGTGCTCCTCCTCCACACCGTTGTGTCTACCTACTATGCCGGGTAATTAGGTGCAAGTACTGGTGGACATCAGGCACGGCGCATGCCGCCTATATAGTTACTAAGCGCCATTAAAATAATCAATCCAGTCCCTTAGACCCGGGGTAAAACAAACAGGGCCATCGTTCGGCCACACATAGTAACACCTTCGGGTGATTGCCACATCTACTCAGACGAGTAAAAACATGAATTACGAGTCATCCTATCGCCTCTATTCCACTAGGTTCGCGTTATGAGACGGGCATTGGGTGACAGCTCCATAGGCCGGTACCTCCTGTCTGGCTCTTCCCTCGAGTTCCTTCGAAAGTGAAAGCGCGTCCCTCTTTCCACGCTCTACATCGACCAAGAGCATTAATGGTAAAGGAAGCAAGATCAGGACAGCCAGGAAGACGAAGGCAGGTCGGATTTCCCCGTAACGATCGGTGATGATTCCAACAATGGCGGGACCAAAAACACTGGAACCTTTATCAGTGATGGCATACAAAGCATAGAATGCAGCTTCATATCCCGGAGGGATCAATTCCCCAAAGAAGCTCCGACAGTATGAAGAAAGTCCACCCATGACGAGTCCGTATATGACACCCAAAGGGTACATCTCCCATGGTTGTTGGAGGCCTAAGTACCCTAGGCTTTTAATTGCGGGGATAAAGCCTAAGAGACCATAGAGCGGCACAAGCTCGAATAAAACAATGCAAGCAACTATCGTTTGTGAAGCTCGGAGATTGAATGCCCGCGACACAAAGCTCCAAGAGAATGCTCCAAAGACTCCTGCAATCATCGTAATGACATTTATCAGCCCCAAAGCGGCTGGTTGCATTCCCAGTTGTGTCTTTGCAAACAGAACGGCGGTCCCGCTGACTGTCGCGATACCATCACTTAAGAGGAACCAAGCTGCCAGGAACAACACGATATCTCTCAGATGTCGAGTGCGCATTATTGTTCTGCCCAAAGATTTCCAAGCGTATGCCATATAACTAGTCCATGTACGAGTCTCTTTCCCATATGGAAGGGGCGGGCCGGGCCGGGCACGTAGCCACATTGCCGCGGGTATGGTGAAGGTAAACCACCAGAGCCCAATCAAAAAGAGGACTAGGCGTAACGAGAATGTTGTCTGGTGAGTTTCGACAACAACTAGGATGCAAATGGCTTGCAGTATCACTGCACCTATGTATCCGATGCCGATCCCGTTTGAGGATAACTTTGTGGAGAGCTTCAATTCCTGAGAAGTTTTCGAGGCAAACACTTGAGTTTCATCGCCCGTAGAAGAGGCATTGCGGCTTTGTTCTGGCCGAAGCAGTGATGTTGTTTCAGTTCCGTCGGTTTGACCCGAGCCATCGGCGGTAGAGGTCGAATCATGGTTGGTCTCGGCGGGTGAATCCTCCTCACCATGTCCACCCAGCAATATGGGATGATAGCGAACCAGCAGAGGCAGAAAAGAATTCAATAGTACAAAAGAAGCTCCAAAACATGTATTAGCTATAATCGCTAACAACCCACCTAGAAGGTAGAGCCTTGGAACGACTGCAAGGAACAGCATCGTAGAAACGGAGCCAATAAGTGCAAAGATGACCAACAGCATTTTGCGGTAGCTTCCGTGATCCGCAGCACCTGACATTGATATTATCAAAATGGCTTGTATGAACACACTCAGTGAGAATGTGTACATAGCGAAGCTTGCAGTGTTGACTTCAACGCCGAGTATATGGATAATGCACTGGCTTGTTCTCGGTGAGCCTGGTTTGATAGATGCAGTGGCATCAAAGATGGTGTTCCATGTCCCCGATGGTGAGGTCGGCTCTAGAGAGCTCCAAGAAGCACTGCACGGTATTGTCTTATCCGAAAGAAGTACACCGCGGTCTCGAGCCATTTGCTCTAGGGTGATGGGGAGGAACGATCCTAAAGTGTATTAGAAGGTGTACAAATTTTACTTCTCCGCCTGTTTAAGAGATACATACCCATAGCGCACACTGTAAAAACCTCGGCAGCCCAGCCATAGCTGTACCATCCAGCGAGCTCCTTCTTAGATGTCGGTCTGGTGTCATCTCCGGGGAATTCTGGAGGCGGAGGACGAATGGAAGCGGTTTGAACTTCCGGTGAATTGGTGCAATTCTGCATTATGAATTGCTCACATATCCAAAATTGAGAACAGCTAGACCGAACACGCGTGTCTGTAGAATGTTGTTGAAGCTGGTTAACGTATACGCTGGAACAAGTCGTACAAACGGCGGCTTTGGTAAATTGATAGTAGATTGATAGGTAGGCTATACGTATAATGATAGCTAAAAATGAATAGGAACCTGCTACTTACAATTGAGCTTGCTTTGCTGTGAAACGGAAGCTGCAGGAAAGATGTCGGCTGGATAATAGTAGTGCTATTGATGACGGTGAGGCTGGAAGCGAGTAACAGGCAGAGCTCGGAAAAAGGGAGGAAACGTCAGCAAAAGCAACAAATGAAGGGCGTAATGATGTTCTCTGTCCAGGAACTGATTAATAAAGTTTTAGTAGTAGGTTGATTGATAGCTCTCCGGTCCGACAACCGTATAGCGCGGCCGGGGATGGAGGAAGCTTGGAGACCTGGGTCGAGTACTTATCTACTTATCTAAAGCGCTAAGGAGCTCTCTCTGACCAGGTAACTTGCTGGTGGAGGCTTCGGAGAACCTAACCCTTTGGTCCTGGAATGCGGTGTAACTGTATGATAGTGGTATTTATATTACCTGTTATATACTATCGGCTGATTCACTTCAGCGAAGCTAATGTATTGTATTGTAATTTTAGCCGGGCAGAAAACTAAGGCACAAAGGCACCAAAATCTAGCTACTGGCTGATCCCGTGCTCATGCATTTGCATCGCATCGCGCAGGCCTCATCTTTCGATCATCCACCAGTACTTTCACAGATCCTCAACGCTTCCGCAAGCATATTGGTATCCATCCCGCCACCTTTGATCCCACAGTATTTACGCTTCACTCACTCAAATTGCGAATGTCTTTTACACGTCTTCTATTCTTATAAAGGGTTATTCTGACATCACCTAGCTCCCCGCCTTCGGTTTTCGATACCCTGCATATCACACGGCAGTCACATCTTCCAAATTAGCGTCGCATCTCTGTCCCATCGAGGCAAATTCTAAGTTATATCTATCAAGCCACTTTTGTGCACAGCCAAGCCTATGCGCTGGGCCATTGCCTCAATCTGAGGATCCTCCAGAGCTACGAGACCCTAACACCTCGGTCTGAGTTCATTCAATCAGTCGTCAACCGCCCCCCTACGTTGAGCGCATAACGCGCCAGTTACAGTTTCTCGATCCGGTCGCTAACCATAAACCAACCGTTTGCGCCCTGGTTGAGAGAACATAAATGGCATTACATTGAAGTCTTCGGCCGACCTACCCAGCATAGCCAGCTTCCCTCCCTACCCCGGTGCCAGTTCCTCCGGTATCAGAAAGGCCCCATATTGAGCCGCTCGTTCTGTGCTGTGCGAGGGGTAAAGGAGGGGAGGGATTAACTCTACGAGGAGCACGTTTATGCACGGAACATGCCGGGAGTCGTCATGGACAATGCCAACATTGGCGGACTAAGACACGGGACAGGTAACACCTATCCTCAAGATGGACTGTCACATCCTCGGGGAGAAGTTGTTCAATTCAATGGCGCCAATGCACAAGATGGTCCTGTTCATGTTAATGGTGTCGAAAAGACCGCCAGTCAAAGTCGAAGCGTGGAGACAGTCTCAGCAAATCATGCATCAAGGATAACTAAAGGACTGCCTGAATTGCCCCATATCACACAGGGGTTCTTCCCTTTCACGAAGTTGGTCAATAGGTCCGTACAGCAGTGCTGGAACGATCTATCGGACTTGATTACTGAAATGGCGGAGATGCAGGTGAATTCTCATGAATTTCACCCCTCGACAGCTCCAACTACTGGGAAGTCGCCTGGAAATCAGTCTCCTGGAAACATACGGAAGAAGCTTCGAATATTAGAGTTTTCTCACGCTAAAAGAGCCGAATTCATAAAGCTGCTCGTCCTCTCTCAATGGAGTCGACAAGCAGCTGATGTTAGTAAATTGATCGACATTCAGAATTTCATTCGCACCCGGCATCAAGCGTATATGAATGCGTTACAATGGGTTGGGGACATGAAAAGAGACCTCGTTCAGGCACAGGTAGCAAATCCTGATCTGAAGACCGCACTGGAAGTCTTGTCGAGGGGCAAGGTGGCGTCAATGTCCGATGTAAGCTCCGTTATCTTCTACAGTATTGGCCATCTCTCTAATGTTGTTTGCGCCGAAATTTAGCTCGGCTACAAACCCCCACGGCGCTTGACCGTCCGAGGGACGCTCAAGAAATTACAGAAAATCAATCGATTAATCGGTGCACGACTCGTGGTGCAAGAAGAGATTCCTCCTCCATTCAGAAATTACCGGGTCCATGATGGCCGGGTCACATTTGGTGTCCCTGGCGAATTCGAACTCGACCTCTCCATTGGCGAAGAGAACGAAAATTCGCAGTTTTTCTTTGTCGATATACGTTTCCTCTTCTCGCCTTCACCACCAATTTTGAAGGGTCGATTATTGAACGAGCTCGAAATGACGATTAATGACGTGCTTCAAAATAGTGGCTTGACCGGGTGCTTCGACTTGTTACATAACCTGGTGTTGACTAATAAAGTCAACATATTATTCAAGCAAGCTACTGAATTGGCTAGAGGTTCTTGGTCTGAATGTTTGCGGGTTGAGTTATTGCACCGAACACTTGTCGTTCAGTACTGGACACTGAAGCCTGGAGCTAAAAGCTGGCTTGAGATCGGAATCAGGAGCGGCCATCGCAAGTCAGACAGCAAAAGCCCTGGGTTACCGTCTTTGAAGTTCCGCTGGATGAGGGATGGGGGCGAGGTGCCATGTGAAGATATTGCTTTTGATGCAGAAAATCTCTCCATGGAGATTGTCCTGCGAAGTGTCATCGCACTGCATGTCTCCCACATCCTTTCTTCGGCATACAACAAGATAAGACAAAGCTCGCTTTTCTCAACTGGCTTCCTATCCTTGCGTGCTCACTTAACAAGAACTGAGCCGGGTGATTGCCAACTCGATGCCCAGCTCACAGAAACTAGGCATCTTCGAGTGTCTATTGAACCCATGTCCGGAATGAGTATCTTGTCAGCCACACCGACTGTCTCGGACCGCTCTGATCTAGAGCGCAATCCTGAAAGATCCTCTGTTGAGGACATTGTCTCCCGTGTTGCTCGAATCCGCTGCAATGCAGCTATAGAAGAAATAGAATCCAAGGTCAAAATGCTAGGATTCGAGCCACTCAATCCGAGGGCATGGAAAGTTGACATTCGAAGGATCTTCCCACCGAATGTGCTACGCTTCACACTCTTTTCTCATCAGCTTTGGGGACGGAATTGGATTGTGGCAGCAACTAGCAGCATGGATAGCGATTCTTGGTGGGTTGTGCAACTTCGCCCAACGGTGCCTGCAAAGGGTCCTCCCGTCCCTCATGGAAGCGGCCGTGGCCAGTCTGTCCTCCGTTCCGCTCAGGTTGTCACAGATTCATTCTTCCCCGCACGCTATGATATTGACGATGCATACCTCGCAAACCTCGGACACAGTCTTTCAGGAATTCTGGCCATTCATTCCAATGCACGCTACTTGTCGGACTTGCAGTCTATCAAGTTCCATCCCCCGCCACATAAGTTGAAGGTTGAACCTGATCTCCGAGTGCCAGATATCCTTGTCCGGTACGATGTATCAACTCTTCCTAGTGTCTTTAGGGCAGCCATGCCCGTCAAGGCAAAGAAGAAGAGTCTCATTAGAGATACTATTCGTCTTGCTTTCCATGGAGTTGATCCTCGTGAGAAGTGCGCTATCATGGTAGCTTATGGCAACTTGGTCGATTCTACGGCTACATTAGGTCCACTTATCTCGAGCTGGGATCGCTCACTAGTGTTTCAAAAGGGAGGCAGTGGCTTTGCGATGCGTTTGCTTGCACCTGCGGGTCACCCGGTCATCGCCAGCCTTCTTGAGAATTTGCAGAGGCTTGAGTGTGTGCTTTCCGTTCTTGAGTCACTGCAACGGAAAAAGGTAGAGATTCGGACCTTCTCGCTATCGAGTATATCCTTTGTTTATGGTCCAGAGAGAGATCTTGCGGCTAGCCTCAATATACATCTGTCAAGGAACGAATCACTCATGGAGCTTAGCCCTACTGAGCTGGCATCTAGGTCCGAGTCTTTATTTGGTCTGCGTTTAGGCATACAGTTCGGTCTTCAAAACCCGCACCGCCGAATCCAGGATTCCCTTGCGTCTAGTCTAAACCGCTCTTCCACCGAGGCGGGACTTGAGACCGTTGTTGAGCTCCTCACGCTTACGCTTCCCCTGATGAGGGCTTTGGACCAGCTAATGGCCAATCCCTCATACAGCGGGCCTTTGAGACTGCACGTAACAGTGCGCAACGCTAAGACGTACCAAATTCACTACCCTGGGGACGAGGCTCGATTTCAATTGGTGGCTGCTTCGCATCAAAACCGGTTGGTTTGGGTACTCAAGGACGCGAACAGCCAAGGAAATAGTAAGAACAATGACAGTATCACAGCCAGACTCAGACAGACACTGTATACATCGAAGGGCGATGGCTGGAAAGGGCTTGAAACTGGAGTCGTGGCAGAAGTCAACCAAGTCGGAAACCTCTTACGAGAACTTGAGAATTGCTTTGTTGCCTCCCGGGCTGATCCTGCCGATTCTGCTGCCAACTTTAGTGGATCGAACAATCCAGGCACCTCGGCGTTGGAAACCGAAAAAGGGACTGCAGATGGTGCTAAATTTTCCCTCTCAGACCCGCTTACAACCATGCCGAACGACAAAAGCAATCTTTCCCAGGCAGACACGGCAGCGCAGAAAGAGGACATAATCATGATCGACTGAAACCGCTCATGACTACTACCTGGACTAGTGCATCTTAGGCATCTATTTTCTTTTCACTTGAAACGTATTTGTTTTCTCGACCATCATTGCGTCTTGTACAGTGTCTACAAGTCGAGCTCTTTGTGATTAGAGGCTCCCTATTATGCCAGCTGCTGTGGTAGCCGAACGCATGCATACGTTTTGGCATGTGCTCCTTGTGGTTGAATTATAAAGTCTTGGGAAGAATATTGTCTAATGAGGTGAGGAGATATGCCTTGGGTGTCGGAGGGCCAAAAAGGGAAAATCGTTTCTACTGTGTCCTATAACAATACCCGTTCATTGCATGATGCGAATGTAACCGCTCACCGTACGTCAAAACACAATTGTATATTTACACAACACCAAGTCGTTAACCTCGCAAGAAATTAATATTTTCAAGCACCTAGTGCATAAGTTCCGTCACGTAATTTCCCGCTACAGGCGTTCCTGCTGCACCCTGCCTCGATTCTTGACGGCATCATACTCAATCCACCGGACAAACGATAGTTCGCCCTCCGGAACAAGCCGGCCAGGATTCATCACATGGCAGCCCTCATACGTTATACAAAACGGTGCGGCCTCTGGATCTGCAAGAATAATTGCAGTTGGGAGCGGATACAGCTGTAAGGAAGAGACGTAATCCCACAAAACGGGCCGCAAAGAAAGCGGGAAAGGCGACAAAGTGCCCTGGTCTAGAATCGATTTCACAAGCCTTCGAGCGAAAAGAGTTGTACTCGGGGTTGGATTAGAATCAGTGCCTGTCTGTGGGCTCTGGCTGTGAGGTTCGAGATGGTCGGTAGTCTCCCCAGGAGATGCGTGCGCGTCTTCAGCCATCGCGGTGTCGGCGCCGTGGGAGAGGTTTACAGCGTTTCGTCTTAATCTGTTAGAGATATCGTCTCTGAATATCGCAATATCATGGACAGGCCCAAATAGGGTAAGGCGGGAAGGATTTGAAGTCCATATTGCCTCCCCAGGAGGCCCAGACGACTGTGAGGAGTCCGACTGCGAGTTGGCAGTAGCAAATGCACGTTTTACCCTGGTAGTAAATAACTCTGGAATCGAATGGCGGGGGACTGGGGAAGCGGCGCCAGCTGAGAAAGCCGACGGCCATGGATCATTGTCGCCCGGAACAAATATGAATGTCGAGTGCTGCAACAATGAAGGAAACTCCGACAGTATCAAGGAGAGAGCATCAAAATGTTCTTTGTACTCAATGCTGCCCGCCTGGCCACTGCTGTTTATAATCGCCTTCTGCACGAAATTCCCCGTCAGGACAAATATGCTTGGCCGCTCCTCCGAAGGCAATTGGTGATAGACGCTGAAGACCTTCCGCAACGCGTCCAGAGTGCGCATGTTATCCAGATTGACCTCCCCCAAAGCAGCCACCCTTAACCGGCGCTCGCTTTTAGCTACATCTCGCAGGTAGTTGGTTTCAATCTGCCTCATTCGCGGGCCACGTGCACGTTCACTTCCGACTCCCAGAAAGTCAATCCATCCAAGTCCTCCACTAGAACTGACCTCTCTGCCACTTTGTTGGTTGTTCATCCCAAGAGATGTCTCCCGCCGCTCACAGGGAGGACCGCAAATAGAAACGCCCACGAAAACTCCTCCAATGGCACCCCCAACCCCGGAATTGCCGCCTAGAGTGGACCCCCTGACATTTTCCTCTTCTTCATAGATCCCATCAACGAGGACAAACATCCCTGGAGCGAGCCAAGCTCCATCTTCAGGCACCATCCGCGCGTGTCTAAGATCCAAGGAAATACTTCCCGTCAAATCGCTCAGTGTTAAGTCGCCCGTTGGGGACGTTGAGAGTAAACCTAGAATAAGGTGTGATGTGCCATTTCTCCCGAGTAAATTCGCGATTGGTGTGAGCTTGTAGCCTTGGGTAACCGCTAAAGAAGATGGTGGTTGGCGCAAGATACGCGAGGGACCAGACGGTGATTGGAATGACTCATGCCGAAGCAGACGTTGATGGATGACATTGTAACGATCTCTGAACAAATTCGTCCTGTGAGAGGATGGGGGGAACAGGGTAGGCCTTGATCTTGCGACTTCGAAGTATTTCTTATCCGCATTATAGGTCAATCGCGGTATATCAAACGCCTCGATAACTTTAACCCAATGTCTCGGGTGTGAGGGGACATCAGAAGTTTCTGTTGAACCTTCTCCTTCCAGCCCTGCCGCTGCATACATTGGCGGATCGGCCCTAGAGCGTCTGGTTCCTTGGCCGGGGCTTGTCGTTCTTGATGGGACCTCATCTGACGTGGCGTGCTTCCCAGAGACTACCCTTCCCCCACTCATATTGCTCTCTAAAGCCTGGAGGATGGCTTTCAGTGAGGCGCCCTTACCCTCATCGACAATGACACCACCGCCAGCTTTCTTCCAGGCTTTGGCCACTTCATCGAGTACTCTTTCTGCGAGACCTTCTTCGCGCCATGCCGAGCCACAATTCTTCCCCACGAAGGTGGCTAGTGTTTGAAGCGCAGAGGAGGATATCGTTAGGTTATGCTTGCGCGTGAAGGTACGGAAGGCCACAGGCCGCAGAGTCGAAGGAGGGAGCAGTATGGGAAGGACCGATGTCCTCGTAGGCAGCGCATTGGGTCTGTTCTTTCGGAATGGATAGGCGGGAGTTCCAAATCCGGGTGACGATGAAGGTACGGGGTCCGAGTCCATATTCAGATAGTAAATTGTGACTGCGACACTGGTACCGCAAATCCGCTCTTGGTCGAATGCGCGTCTAACTGCCGGATATCGTGCGGGGACAATGTCACGACTAGAAACCCGTAGAGTTCCTCAGAATAGGTGAAGAGGGAAAAACTCAAGGAAATGGAGAGGGCGAGGGAAGAACTGAGAACCGCTGTCAGTACAAGGTGATCCTGCCAACGCTGGTTGACTGATCAATCATTACCTACCTGGACGAGCCATTGACGTATGGAGTAGATCAAGCAGAACGCGTCGTGGCGGTGGTGATGGCGGCACGCGCGTCCCCCACGCGATTTGTTCCACTTTTGCGACAACCTACAAGGCCATTATCCTTAATTTTTCTCAGTACTCATGCACTGATCATCGCACCAGACCTATTTCGACCAAAGGCACCATAAAATTCGCCAGAGTAACCTCCTTTCGTTACACTCCCCTTTCCACCCCGATTATCATTATTTCCCCCCGCCTATTGGAGAGATTTCCTTGTTGGTTTGGTTCTGGTTCATTCCTCGTCCATTATATTACCATCAACCACACACATCCATTATGGAACCAACTACATCCCCGAAAGACGATAGTACAAAGACTCAAACAGCTTTGGACGACCTTATCAAGCAAGCTGCCGCCAAAGATGCCATCAAGGATTACAACGCCGCTGCAGAGCTATATTCTGAGGCCACGGAACTTCAAGCAGAGCTCAACGGAGAACTAGCGCTGGAAAATGCAGATTTACTATTTGCCTACGGAAAAGCCCTCTATAATGTTGCCGTCAGCAAGAGCGATGTGCTTGGGTCCAAGGTAGCTGGAGAATCACAGCCGAGCAGCGCATCTGTCGAGAGGCCATCCGCTGCGGCAACAGCCACAACCGCAGGTATCGTTGAGAAAGCTGTCGCCCAGGGCCCACCTGAGAAGTCCGCGGGAGCCCAGAAGTCAAATACTGGTGATGTCCCAGCTAAGCCATACTTCCAATTCACTGGTGATGAGAACTTTGACGACTCGGATTCGGAAGACGAGGCCGACGGTGAGGAAGCTGCGGCCGATGACGAAGACGACTTTGCCAATGCCTTCGAAGTTCTTGACCTGGCGCGCGTGCTATACCACAAAAAGATGACTACGATAGAGGAGGGAATTGGCAAAGGGAAATCCGCAGATTTACCTCCAGATCTCAGGCACGTCAAAGAACGTCTCGCGGATACGTACGATTTACAGGCGGAGATCTCACTGGAGGCAGAAAGGTTTTTAGATGCGGTGACGGATTTGAGGACGTCTCTGGATCTAAGGCAGTCTCTGTTTCCGATTGAAGATCCTTCTGTTGCAGAATGTCACTACAAGCTTTCTCTTGCCCTAGAATTTGGCTCCGTCAAAAATGAGAACGACAGCTCCCAAGAGGACAGTACCCTCAAAGGGCCGGTCGACGAGGAAATGAGGGAAGAGGCCGCAGCTCAAATGGAAAAGGCTATTGAAAGCTGCCGTCTGAGGATGGATCAAGAACAGAAGAAGTTGGTCGACGATAATTCATTGGATGAGGACAAGGTGACCGCTATGAAGAGAAGAATAGCAAATGTCAAAGACATCATAGCAGACATGGAGCAAAGGGTAAGCAACAGCCTTCTTTCCAAATCCCTTCATCGCATACCCTTCCTACTTCCTTTGCTTCAGCTACAGTTACTAAGAACGTTGACAGCTCGTCGATCTTCGACGCCCGCCAGTATCTGCTACTGAGAATAGCGATGCAGATAACACAGTGCTGAAGGGTATTTTGGGTCAGATTATGGGGCATTCTCCTTCGGAGCAAAAGGCCCATCTCGATGCTGTCACAAAAGAAGCAAATGACCTTTCTGCGTTTGTCAAAAGAAAACCTGCGAGCAAGAAGCCACCCCAGAAGAGTGAGACTGTACCAAAACGATCGGCTCCGGAAGAGGGCGCGGGAGGCGATACAAAGAGAGCACGAGCAGGCGATAACCTTGAATGAACCTGGGTATACTGATCGCCAGAGGCATCAACGTGTCTGGTGCTCTGTCTATCAACCCTTTGTAGCAGCTAGAGATCACCTGAGAAAGTGATCTATCATGCTAGCATTTGCTCAAAGGTTTAGAGCGTTAATTAGGATATGATACCCAATGAAGCGAGGCCGCAGAAATAACTATACATTATACAGAAATAGCCACCAAGTTATCTGTGAATTTTATTGTGATACCACATATTATTATTACTGATTAAGGTAGCTCCCAACGAACCATAAGGGAGAAAAGGAGAAAATGAATCAAAGAATCAGAGCCGTCTGGTGCACAAAGCAAGGCGGTTTCATAGCAAACAACCCCACCTTGCTCCGTCTGAAACTGTGGGGCTGTTGGGTCATACTTCATTTCATCAAACATGGAGATTCTCATGAAGCTTCATTAGGCGCAAGAGCATAACTCATTATCATAGGGCTGTGATTCCGAATAGAGAAGACCGGCGTTCAGGCAGTTTGCGATTTCTTCGGCGTACAGCCAACCCAGGGGTCCAGATCCCAGAGAATAAGTCCTCGCATTCATCTTCGTTCTGGCTATCAAATTCTATACTGTTCGAAGGTTGGTCATGTCCAACCTCGGTAGAGCTGGTATACGCCGGGAGTAATGCTGTTTCAACAAAGGCGGGAGATTCCCAAAAAGAAGATGTCATAACCCTTTCGGTCTCCAAAATGAACTTGCCGACCTTGTAACGTTGCGACTCCTCTTCAGCAGCGATATATTTCCAGCCGAGCACATTTCCGCAAATGGAACAGTTGATGTCGCCTACTGTGTGCGCACCAGTGACCAGTCTCCGCGGCACGGGCTGCTGTATCATCGTATTTAGAAGTGTATCGGTTGGTGAAGGTCCTCTAGCGAGCGTAGGCTCGCCGGACACAAGATAGGCACGGCCATAGCGACCGGTGAATCCTTTGCTGATTATCTGCGACGTCAGGCATATATCTGCTGCACACTGTGAACAGCGGATGCATGAGACATGGCCCTCCAGATAACCGGCGTCACTTGGCTTCAGAAATCGTCCGGATCCTTCTTCCGAAGATGGCACTCTGGACCTCACGCTTCGCTGTTTGGTTCGGAAGAAAGATGGCTGGAGCAAGAATTTAGGAAACATAGAGCCTTGGATTTAGGATCTTTGCCCTGTGAAGTACTTGAATAGGGGGGCATGTGTAGCAACCAAACGGCGAGAGCATCAAAGAATGCTGCTAGTTTCTATCATAACTCTAGTATCTCTAGCATAGAAAAGGCAGTTGTTACAGTGAGTTTATATGGAAATGGGTAGGTATCATACTGAGGTCATCACCCGTTCCTTGGCGATCTAGCTAACTATCGGAACGAGTCATGACATGGTCATCTGACACAATATAGTTATGGATCCCGGCTGATGTGCTAACTACAAATGTGAGGCCATTTTCGGCCTGACTGGGGAATGGAAGCATAATCCAAAATCAATACATATATAAGGATTACTCATGTCATTTGGCCTTTGCTCCTTGTTAGAATTAGTGGACTAGCTGTTTGGTTGCCTACAACTAAACCTCCGCATCCAAGAAAAGCCATTTAGTGCTAAGCGAGCGTTCGACGTCTCTTACACCACTCCACGGTTGCAAAGTAGTCAAACTGAATCCGCACCAACCGAGGTTCCGTACAGCTTCTAGTTCAACTGCATCGTGCGAACGGGGTACACATGCCACAATTCGGGGGCACCCAAAAGCAGATATATTAGCAAGTTCAAACAGGGCAATTAACCTTATCGGGAACAAACACGACAGTATGTTAGTAATATTCACGGGTTTATACCTCGTCTACATTTCGACGAGAACATGGGTGCACATACCCTGTTTTCAGACCGTGACCGAGTGCGTTCTCTGCAAGGAAAACAAACAAGGTCGGTTCGCCGCTCGTATTGGTTACAAAACCACGGTGTATAGTGTCGCTGGTGTAATCCAACAGCTCAAACCACTGTTCAATCGGCATACTATTGTTCGGCCGGCTTTGAGACGCACCTACCCCAAGTGACTCTTGTCCAGCGAAGCTCCTCTCACCAAGGAAGATCGCAGACAATGTGTCACAGAAGAGCCTCTCACACTCTTCCGGGATAGTATGCATTGCCTCCCCTTTATATTCCGGTAATATATTGCCCGGCCAACTAACCCCCATGCTTGGAGCGACGGAGAGTCCAAAGGGAGGACTTGGAGATGTCTTTGACCCCGAAGGGACCTCAGGGATACCACTGTGTCCCTAATAAGATGATCAGAAGTTAGCAGGTAGTTATGAAGTTTAGACCATAACGATCGATTGCGGAAAGGGGCATCGCACCGGCCCCCGCGGTAGTGCAGTAGTGGAAACTATCGACCACGGAAGTGGATGATTTGACGCTGTAACAACTGGCAAGCACGCTAGCCTGGGGATGTTTGTCGAGTGTACACTGCAACTGATTTCGGGTGCTACTGTTGTGATTCGATGACTTGGCCATGATGATGGATCTTATAAGTTGAAGATTAGATGTGCTATCTTTCGGGACAGGTGGGCGCGGCTTGAGAATACGTATAAAGTTTCGGGTTCACTGGGTAGGTATCCTGTAATAACCTTCTGACAGCCGCGATAATGTTAGGATGCAATGATAACCGATGCGGAAAGGTGGTGCAGGTGTACTAGAGGTTGGATGGTAATTAAGTAGGGATGGGACAAACTGGGGTGGTCTCCCGTGGATTCCTGGGACTAGTTACTACGGAGTACTAAAATGACATGTGGGGCTTCATTAGTCAGGCCGGAACATAACTTGACTAGTTAGTTATTGCGTGCCCTGTAGTTATCTTAGCTTTTTTAGTTAACCAACTAACTAGTTGAGTTTACTCTTGTCATCTGATCAGATGCCCAATGCTGTTTGTAGAGACGTAAGTTTACATAGGAAATTACATGTGAGAGGTGGTCTAGGTGGAACCTCGCAGGATCCTCAGGTGGTTATGCATGTAGATGACGACGGATACCTTTGCCCACAGACAATCATATACACATGCGTATCTGATAGGCCCCCTAAACATTGTAATGTATCGAAATTTACATGTCATTCTAATTAAGCTCTGGTTTTGATGGATGTTATATCTTGATTTCACGAAGGCAATTCCCATATGTGGATACCCAATGGCGGAGCGGCTTTGATCTCAGACCGACCTCATGAAGATTACTACTATCTACGACCACTTTGCCACTAATAAACGCATCGGTAGTCGCTAGACTTTTTATTTGGCAAGTTGCTTAATGTGGCGCTAATATTACATTGTGTACATTCAATTGCACCTTCAAATAACAAGCCCATTAGAGCCGGAACCATCTCCCTTTCAACTCCAACAATGTGCAAATTTCAAAGGGGCAAAGCCTGCAACATGCACATGCCCACATGACAATGAATCAAGAAGCAGCTATGAACGCCGATGAACATAAAAAGAATAGAGAGTGACGGGGTGAACAGCAAGACATATCGGAAAAAGGGAGACCTGAGACCTAACAACCGCGGACACGTCGAAGTGACTTTTCTCTACCACTTCAAAGCTCTCGATAGTCACTTGGTCGTATCCTCCTGTGTCTCGCTTGGTGCCGTTGTGGATTAACAGGTTGCCGAAAATAAGCCGTATCTTCTTCCCTGGCAAATGGTGTACTAAACGTTGTTCTCTGCTGGTTTGAAAATCGACCTATTCCGGGACCTTGCGCAAGACCAGGATTCGGTTGAAGTCCCATCATTTGAGGCATGTGGAACATGTTCATAGATGGCTCTCCGACGCCGTTGTAAAGGTTCGGTGTGGCATAATTGTTCACATTGTCGCCATAGATTCCTGGGGCAGGGCTGAAATTCATAGCATTCATGGGATTCCACGATTGATCCATGTTAGGTGGGAAACCACCAGACGAAGGAACACCCATAGAGTTCATAGGATCAGACAATGGTATCGTAGGCATCCCCTGGTTCGGCATGAATCCAAAATTCCCGAACGGCATCTGCTGGCCGAATGGGAAAGCTGGAAAACCGGCCACAGGCCCAGTAGCCTGTGTATTTTGTGAATCGGCCTTGTCGTTTGTCTTCAGCTTTTTGGACAACGAACTAGGACTTGATCCACCAGTGGCAGTACGGGGAGGTTCATCTTCAGCAGGTCTTTTGTTCGAAGCTGGTTGACTAGGCGGAATTGGTGGCGAAGACTCCGTATTTGCAACAGGCCCTTTGCCTTGCATGGCTGATTTGTCAATACCGGGACCATTGTCATTTGCCTGTTGCTTGTCCTTCTCTTTCTTCGAATCCGCTTTTTCAGCTTCGTACTCTTTGATCTTGCTGATAGCCTCATCATCAACAGTAAGATTATCGAGTAATACTCCCTCCGTTCCACAGCCAGGGCATACAAAATCGCTCTCGATTAATGCATTGGTAATACAATCATTGCAGTATGTCCTTTGACAGCACGGAGTTCTAGTGGGCTCTAAAAACATTCGCTTGTCAATCGGACACTCTAAACCACGTGCTTGCAGTTCTTTGCTGTACTCTGCTGCTGCTGCTTCTGCTGCGGCTGCTGCGGAGGCTTTGGCTTTCTCCTGGTATAATTCCCAGGCTGCCTTGTCAGGCTTCGCTATGACGAAATCGCCGTCGGCATTAACCATGACACCTGTGTTCCTCGGATCCTCGTTTGACCCGTCCAGGGTGAGGGATTCCGGCTTTTCGACCTTGGTTTGTAATGAACGGGGTATACCAGTTGATCGTTTTACTCTATACTTCCCATCAAATTTGGGGTCATTATTTGTGGGGCAAGCTTGGATCCAGTGTCCTGATAATACACCGTTAGTTTTAGCTTTCAATGATTATATTAGAACAGCTTGCCTTTCTCACGACAGCGGTAACATAAGTAGCCGGGGGGAGGGGGGTGATCAGGAACATTCACAGGTCTGCCCCTTCCACGGCCGAATGGAACAGGGGTAGCGCTATACGGGAGACGAATTGTCAGTACCAGTAGAGGAGAAAAAAAGAAAATAAGTCTTACTACATATAGACACACTTACTTTGCCATTTCCTGCTGCTGTTCTTTCCATTGATTTGCTTGCAAATTGAACAGTGCATTGATCTTCTCTTCCTCCGTCTGGGCATTGTTGAGCTCTAGAACACCGTTGCTAGTATTGGGAGATGCTCGAGTCAAGGGAAATTGTTCATTACGGGGGGCACTGCGCGCATTGACTGGCATTTTCCCGGAAACATAACGAGCAGCACCACCCTTCCCAGGGCGTGATGCAGGCAATCTCCGAGCGATGACGGACGTAGAACGCGGTATTATGCTGGTGTCATCGTCGTATTCTGTCCCATAAAAACAAACGGTCAGTCCTCAATAATTTTTTCTCTTAACTTCAACCACAACCTGTTCCCGCTTTGCCATACGGGTTGGGCGGACCAAGGTGGATATGAACGGTAAAACCAAGGCAATCAGTTTCCAGAAGCTACTAACCTTCTTTAGTATCTTCATTGTAGATAGACAGCTCAAAGTCAGTCCCGTCACCCAGTCTACTCTGATTGATAATTTCTCTTTTCAATTCGAAGACAGAGATACCGGTGCCATCAAAAGTCACCCTTGAAGGCTCCTTTTGAGACTTGAACTTGAAGTGAACAGAGGATGACATTGTATTCAATTGCACGTCAATGATGGTGTTGCGAATGTAATTAGATCAATAGAGGGGTGCCACTTTCACAAGAGATACACGAGAACAAAGGCAGACAAATGATAACAAGCAACAATCGGAACGGTTGGCAAATTGCAGATGACAGTATGACGTATAGCCTCACTCCTGTCTCAAATGCTTAGAGATCGTAAACCCAGTATCTATCGAGGGCTTTGCTCGAACTCAGTAGATTGAAGAAGCGTCTTGAGTGCTGCGCGGCAAGTGTTCGAATCACTGCATACAAACAAGGTGTAAAGTCCGGTGGATACAGAGACGAAGCCAACTAGTCTGCAGTAAGATAATGTGAGTTATAAAAAGCTCCGCGGGCCTTGCTAGTATAACAAGCAGCATCAGACGCCGCAACCCATCTAATTCGCGCTTGCGACCGAGCTCAAGAGATATGATATGAGTTCATGTAATCTTCGTTGAGAACAGCCTTGGGGCACTTCCACAAGCTTTGGGCGATCAAGGCATGGAATAGTATATACGACCAAAGTGGACGAGACTTGGGGAAGCAAAGACGCAGCGAAGGTAAGAGGGCGTTTGAAAGAGAGATATGGGTGCAGGTTTGGGTGCGGGAGACAACGGCGTCACAGTTGAATTGACCAGTATAAATTCAAGGAGAAAGAGCCATTTATGATGAGAGAAAGCAACTGGGTGGAAACAAGGCAATATTAAACAATCAGTGCATTCTCCAGGACATGTGCAAGGGTATGTTCAAAGCCTGGAGAGCGATTCGGGAACAGTCTTCGTGGTGGCGAGCTAGCGCATTCGGTCACGTGACTTTGCGCCAGATGTGGAAAGTATAGGTTGCCTGCTTATCTCTGTAGAGATAGTTTGACTTTCCTAAATCATAGTACTGGCATAATCTTCTGGTACGTGCTTTTTGATGGCCAGGAAGTAAACTGAACATATGTATTGCAAACTTCCTAAAGGGCGATAGCTGTATGAAGCACCGTTGCCGAACGGAAATGCGCTAAAAGTATAAGGGCCAGCAATGTAGATAAGTACTTAAGTTAGCATTTACCTTTCCTTTTTAGTAGAAAAACTTGGCATTCCGCGTATAGATAGATAACTAGGTGCCAGAATCAACCACGGCTTACTACACAACTTAATACGTACCGAATACCACAGGAACCTCGTATTAAATAGGGTTCCGAGGGAAAGTGTGCGCTTTCTCCATTGAATCCAGCCTGCCATGCATCAAAATTATGAAGTTGTTTAAAAGAGTGAATGCAGTAACTACCGGGTAACCAATAATTTGGGTAAATAACAAGAGCTCTACGGAGGTGCATAGCAAAGGCCTGAATGAAATCATTACTGGCCAGAAATTACAATTTTTTCCCATGTCTTGGAGCAATTTATGCCAGTTGGCCTACTTGAGCCGCTACTGTTTCAAGCTTGCTTTCGTATGGCCCGCAGTTTGCTCAAAATCATTGAGGGAAAGTGGGGGGGGAGGTGAGCGGGTAATTATCTTAGTATGTGTGTATCAATCCGTTAATAAGTTACATGTTCCTGGCACTCCGTACCTGGTGCCTAGATGTACATGTGAAAAATTCCCTACTTATTCAATTCGCCCAGCTTAATCCGACCTCTGCATGCCCTCCTGTCCCAACCCAGGATCCAGCCCCTCTTCCCCAAACTCGGGGACGCGCGCTTATCCATTCTTCCTGCCTTTGACCTTTACACTGGCTTTACCAAGCAGGTAATCATGTTGATAGGCCTATGCGGAGGTTAGCATCTTATCAAGCAGCGTGCCTTGGTGTCTTCAATATATGCTAATA